GGATTGCGCGAAAGAAACTTCAGTGACAGCCTTCAGCGGCACGCAGGCCATGGGGAGGAAGGGATGGCCATGGGGAAGAAGGGTGTGGCTGAGCAGCATCCACTCCTTGAAAAACGCAACGCCGAGGAAGAGTATGTCCAAGCAGCGGCTCAGGCTGCATACATTTCCGAACGTGCAACCTGCCACGGCAGCCCATCACAATCTATCAGCAATGATTCATGTGAAGCATGGTGCATCGCGTATAGTCAGCACCGTGGCACATTCTTGGTGCTGTGTCTATCATGTGGCTTGAGCTCTGGAGAGTATCGGCTATGCTGGGCATGGATCAGTGTTGCCTACACCACGAGCTTTGGATGGCGTTGAAAGGATTGCCATCCGAATCCGTCAGCGCAAGCAGGGTTGGTTTTGTGAAGCAACCAAAGTGCAACCTCCAAGTTCTTGAGGCAAAGCCAGGAATTGAAGACAATGGAACGTCAAAGGATTGCCATCCAAGAGTCTACAACCGTCACCGCAAGGCCTGGTTTCCTTGGGCTCCCAAAAGTTCAACCTCGAACCACCTGCTGGTCAAAGCACGGCGTGGGCAACGAATCAAACTCAAACTGTGCCAACACCTGCGCAGAAAGCTGACGCTTGCCGCGGAGCTCTGGGCGCAACCAAGCTGACTCGGCCCAAAGACTCTGTGCTTTGCTCAAGTCAACCCAAGACGACGCACCTCATAACGCCATCTGGTGCTACTCCTGGTACCCAACGCAGACCTCGTTCCAAGCAGCCTAGGTCAAGGCACAAATCTCTACAAAACACTGGGACGCTACGGTGTGCAAGTACTGGGGTGGGCCTAAGGCCTGTCAGCTGCTTGGCCAGCAGGCTCCGCAGAGATTGACTCCTACCACGTGCAGCTGGAACCTCGCAAAGCTCCGGACACAGGTCGGTTGCCTTCAACACCAATTTGTGATGGCAAAGCCGGAAGGATTGCTATCTGAGAGCTTACGCCGTCACCGCAAGCAGGCCTGGTTTCGTTGAGCTCTCAAAGTGCAAGCTCCAAGTTGTCTTGAGGCGAAGGCAGAAATTGAAGCACATGCTGGACAAACGTCTGCTAGGGCTGAGAATAAACGGCACTGCCGGCGCTGCAAGGCGCTGCATCAGACTCCGCTGGTCAGGACAGCATTGCCGTGTCTGCCAGCCACACCGGCAGTCTGAAGCTGAAGCTTGCCGTGGAGCTCTGGGCGTCAACTGCTGGGCTCAACGACTCCGTGCTTTGTTCAAGTCAACCAACATGATGCCCTCCAGTGCTCCTGGCACCCAACGCAAACCTCTTTCCAAGCAGCCCAGGCCAACGCACAAATCCCTACAACACACTGGGACGCGGCGTCGCGCGAGGCCTGAGACGGGCCTAAGCCTTGTTTGCTGCTTGCCCAGCAGGCGCCGCAAAGATTGACGCCTGCCACGTGCAGCTGGAACTTCGCAAAGCTCTGGGCATCCGAGGCCTACGCCCGCCACCGCAAGGCCTGGTTTCCTTGGGCTCCCAAAGTTCAACCTCGAACTACTGGACAAATGCCTGCTAGCACAGTGTGGGCAACGCATCAAACTCAAATGGTGCAAGCACCTGCACACAATTCTGAAGCTCTGGGCGCATCCAAGCTGACTGGGCCCAACGCGTAGACTTGATCGGTTCCCTTGAACAAATGCTGAAATGGTCTGCCATTGCGAGATAAACCTGTACGGAAAGGGATCCTTGTGACCTAAAGCCACGACGCTGGGGCGGAACACTCTCATGGCCCCTTCAACGATTCGACTCCGGGCACCCGGAGAATCGTCAAAGCTTGGAGCTGTCTCACAAGTACACCTCGTTTGGTTCGTTGGACTAAATGAAACCAGAAACAAAGAACCTCCTGATGACTAAGCGGATTGAAGAAGCAGGGGCCGACATATCTGGGAGTCGTTTCCCAAAGACCGATATCCCACCAAACAGGATTCATCGTGCCATAGGCCTAGTTCTTTTAATGCGCCACCCCGGGACCTCCTGTGCATCCTATTCGTGAGCGTTTTGGGCGCCAGGCCCAGGCAGTCGCTTCCTGAAACCTCGGAGCTCGAATGGCTCGCGCTCGGTCTGCGGTCCCCAAAGTTGGCCCGGGATGTCAGGAGAGAAGTGGAGATAGTTGGTTTGCAGTTGGTCCAAGACGTTCGACATAAAGGGAGTTGCGGCCAGCGGTCCCAAACAAAAAGACCTAATGAAAAGAAATGCCGGGTCCATGCAAGGCACATCTTCGAAATTGGCCTCTCGGTGATTTGAAGGGAAACCACACCCAAAAGCATTTGTTTTAAGAACCCCCCCTCCCCAACGCAGGCCCACTTTGTATGACACAAACTGATCCTTGCGGGGCAGCACGAAGGCAAGCGAGCGCACATCCGCCCAAAGCGCACGGATTTCTCCCATCGCCTTTGGAGATGGTGGGACTGGGACAGATTCATATCGGTTGGTGACAAGAGCGCCCATTGGAGA